GATTCAGGACCTCTGTTAGAGTCGTTGTTTTTGTTTGTTTGTTTAATTTCTGTTTTGTTGACCTGTCCTTTGTTGAGAGTGGGGTGTTGAAGTCTCCCAGTATTAATCTGTGGGGATCTGTGTGTGGTTTCAGTTTTATTAATGTTTCTTTTACAGATGAGGGTGCTCTTGTATTTGGGGCATAGATGTTCAAAGCAGTGTGTCTTCCTTTGAGTATGAAATGACCTTCCCCATCATTTTGATTTTGGTTGAAAATCTATTTTATTAGATATTAGAATGGCTACTCCTGCTTGTTTCTTGGATCCATTTTCTTGAAAAATCATCTTCCAGCCCTTTACTCTCAGGTAATGTCTATCTTTGTGAGTTAGGTGTGTTTCTTGTATGCAACAGATTGTTGGATCTTATTTACATATCCATTCTGTTAGTCTGTGTCTTTTTATTGGAGAATTGGGTCCAGTGATATTGAGGGAGATTAGTGACCAGTGGCTGTTAGATGCTTTGATTTTGCTGTTGGTTGTGGTAGTGTGTTTGTGTGCTTGGCTAGTTTTTGTTTTGCTGTTGTAGTGAGGTTATTTATTTCCTGTGTTTTCCTGAATGTAGTTAGCTTTCTTGGGTTGTATTTTTCCTTCTAGTATATTCTGCAACACTGGATTTGTGGGTATGTATTGTTTAAATTTATTTTTGTCGTTGAATATCTTGTTTTTCCATCTCTGATGATTGAGAGTTTTGCTGGGTATAGTAGCCTGGGCTGCCATCTGTTTTCTTAGGGTCTGCATGTTATCTGTCCAGGCCTTTCTGGCTTTCATAGTCTCTGTTGAGAAGTCAGTTGTGATTTTTATGTGATTCTTATGGGTGTGCCATTATATGTTACTTGGCCTTTTTCTCTTGCAGCTTTTAGTATTTTTTCTTTGTTCTGTATATTTACTGTTTTGATTATTATGTGGTGGGAGGATTTTCTTTTCCTAATTTGGTGTAATTTGTTAGGTGTTCTGTAGGTCTCTGTATTCTTATTGGCCTCTCCTTTAAGTTGGGGAATTTTTCTTCTATGATTTTGTTGAAAATATTTTCTGGGCTCTATTCCTATTATTCTTAGGTTTTGTCTTTTCATGTTGTCTTGAATTTCTTTGATGGTCTGTGTCAGGAATTTTTTAGATTTAATATTTTCTTTGACGGATACATCAATTTCTTCCATTATATCTTCCACACCTGAGATTCTTCCATCTCTTGTTGTCTGTTGGTTATGCTTACCTCTGTAGTTCCTGTTTTCTGCCCTAAATTCTTCCTCTTCATGATTTTCTCCATTTGTGTTTTCTTTAATTTTTATAATTCTATCTTCAGATCTTGAGCAGTTTTGTTGATTTCCTTCACCTGTCTGCCTGTATTTCCTGTTTTTCCTTCAATTCCTTCAGCTGTTTGTTTGAACAATCCTCTGTTTCTTTTATTTCTTTCACTGACTTAAGTATTTCCTCTCTAAAGGCCACAAACTGTTTGGTTGCATCTTCCCGTATTTCTTTATGGATGGCCATAATCTGTTTATCATTATCTTTCTCTATTTCTTTACAGATGGCCATAATCTGTTTATCTTTTTCTTCCTCTGTTTCTTTACGGATGGCTATAATCTGTTTGACTTTATCTTCCTCTAATTCTTTAAGCATTTCATTTGTTTTCTCTGTTATCCTCTTCATAAGCATAGATGTAAGGTTATCTTCTTAAATTTCATTTATGCTGGGGTGTCCAGGGCTGCTTGCCCCTGCATAACTGGGTTCTGGAGGTGCCATATTGTTTTGTCATTTGTTGGTTGAGCTTTTAAGCTGGCCTCTACCCATTGGGCTATTTTTGGTGTTGGCTGTTAGTTTCTGGTGCTTCCTGGAATCCTAGTGTGGGGAGAATCCCCTTGTCAGGAAGATGATTTTTCCTGAAGGAGGCCTCCTCAGCTTTTTGGGTATGGTCACTGAATGGCCAGTGTTACTCAGGAATTGCCAAAGCTTGCCACAGCTCACCTCAGGCATATAGACCTGAGTGGTAACTGTGGTCTTTGTTAGTCAGGGGGCTATCCTCTCACCCAGAGAAGTTCTGGAGACAGCTGCCCTACTGCTGGGTTTCTTGGTCTGAATTTAGTGAGCTGCTGCATTTGTTCTCACACTGTTTTCTAGGCACAGCCGTCTTGAAGAACCTGGGAACCCCACAGTTTGATCAGTATAGTTAAGGCTAACTGATTGTCCCTTGGAGCAGTATCTGGAGGCTGATCTCGGAGATCCCAGGCTTCTTTGGGTCTGAGATTGGAGCTCTGTGCCCCAGTACCCAAGCAGTAATTAGTGGCAGGTGAGCACAGCTCTCATGCTTGTAGCAAGAGGCCTAGAGCCTGCAGGGACCCAGAAACTTTTCCAGAGCTAGGTGTCCTGAGGTGGGACCTGATGTTTCTCCCTACTGTGGGGTTTCCTCCCAATGGGGAGATGCAGTCTGTCGTGTTTTGGGGTCTACAGTTCTGTCTGGGGTGTCACATAGAGCATGCAGACACAGAGTGGTGGCTCCAAGCTGGTGCCTGGGCACCTGCACGAACCTGGGAACTTTTCCTGAGAACTTTTCAGGTGAGTGAGGGTTGAGTGCTCCAAGCTCGGACCTGCTGTTACCCTCACTGTGGAGGTTTTTCCCAACAGGGAAACCCAGTCTCTGGTGCCCTGGGGCACACAGCTCTGTCTGGGACGGTTGACTCCAGTGCGCAGTGGGTCACTGGGCTGGCAGCTGTGGGCCCACTGGTCCCCAGGACCTCTTCCAGGGATTAACTGGGTGACCCAAGGTTGGTCCTGTTGGCTTCCTTTCCTGTGGTGTTTTCTCATGACTGGAAATTCCAGTCTGTGGTGTTTTGGTGCTCACAGTTCAGCCTAGGAAGGTGATCAGGACACGCAGGCATGTGGCTCTGGGCTGGTGACCAAGTGCCTGCAGGAACCTAGGAACTCTTCTGGGTTTTACCTGGGTGACCTGAGAATGGACCCAATTGATTCCTCTCATCTGGGAAACACAATCGCTGGTGTTTTAGGGCCCAGAGTTCAGTTCTTGGTCACTGTGCCAACACTGCTGTCATGCTCCTCAGGCACAATGTCCTCCCAGCGCCGCCATCTTTAATCTTGTCTACATGCGATTCTTAAACAACTTGGATACAAAGAAAATAAGGCTCTGTACTCTGCTACATACAAAGAGATAGAGGCTAGAGTAGTTTGGTAATTTGAGTTGTTTTATGTAGTATAATAAGCAACTTGCTCTTTCCAACTAAGGATTTATATCTGAGGTTCTGTTCAGTTAGGTTTTCCTGTTTTGTTTTGTTTTTTCCACCCCTTTATTTGCAAATGTCTGCCTGTTATCTTTGAGTTTACTGGCACTTCACTTTGTCATTTGCATTCTGGTGCTGAGTCCATCCAGGGTTTCTATCATGAGGGCCCTACATTGTTTTAGTTCTTCAGATTTCTTTCCTTCCTTCCTTCCTTCCTTCTTGCTTGCTTTCTTTTTTTTTTTTTTTTTTTTTTTTTGTCTGTTTTTTGTTTTGTTTTTTGAGATAAGGTTTCTCTGTGTGACCTTGGCTGTCCTGTACTTGCTTTGTAGACCAGGCTGGCCTTGAACTCACAAAGATCCACCTGCTGGATCACAAATACTCCCCTGGTGCTGGAATCACAGGCATGCACAACCACACCTGGCTAGTTTTTACAATTTCTGTTCGATGCACACACATACAAAACTTACATATCTGGTAAGTTTTAACTACATGCAAGATCTTGCCAGTGTCGTGAAGATTTCTTATCTATGACAGTAATTAGACAAAGCTTATTTTGTTTCTGTTACTGCTTGTTTTGTTTGTTTGTTTGTTTTGTTTTGTTTTTTGAGATGGGAGTCTCACCAAGGTAGCTCTAGCTGTCCTGGGACTCACTATGTAGACCAGGCTGGCCTCAAATTCACTGAGATCCAACTGCCTCTGCCTCCCGAGTGCGGGGATTATAGTTATGACCACTGTACATGGCATTACTGTTCTTTTAACAGATAACATCCATCCAGTGTTTATTCAGACTGTCAATTCTGACTTAATTTTATGGTTACCTTCAGTTTTTTAAGACTTGCATGCAGTATTGACATTGTCTTACAGACGTACTACATATGCGTTAGTCTGAGAGTTGGGCAGTGATTTAAACCTTAGTTCCACTTCCAATGCCCTATCCATGCTTGTGCTTTGGATCTATTGGTGTGAAGTTCTATATGAATCTATATGTGCAAATTGAGTTCAGTCCAGCAGGTGATTAGATTTATAAAAGGAATTAAGGAATCCTCTGTTCAAAGGTCTCTTTCTTAGCTCCTTCAGTGAGAAACTGAGGATTTCCTGTGCTGCCCACACTATTACCCTACTACATTTTGAAATGCACTTCCAGACAACTGGAAGAAAACATAAAATATACAGATTTATTTGGGCTATTGCTATTTCTCTAGTGGGAAAGATGAAGTTAGTTAAGTTTTTCAGCCCTTCATCCTGATCCCATCATGACTGAAGGTCCCAAGTTTGACACATACAACCACTTCACAATCTTCTTCCTCCTTAAGATTTTTATATAACTAGTTGCTTATTGAATGCCATCGAGAGGTTAATTATCAGCAGTGGATTGATTTCCCTGTGAAGGTATGCATTTCACATAGGACTAAGCCTTTTCATTACTAGTTAATGTTGGAGGCTAAAACTTAATCTAGAATGCAAGGACTGAAGGAAGATAAGAGTGTGAGGCCCTCTGTTCAATACCAGTACTGCCAGGCACCAGTGAGGTGTGGAAAATAGGGCTGAATTCCATAGAGATGGCCAAGATCTTAATTCTTGAGTCCTAGTCATTTCATTTGATTGAACTCATTTTAAGAAGCAAGACTTTCCCCTAAACAATAATTACCCCGCACTGAACAATTGTCTCATGCATTGTGTGTATGTGGTTTCAAATCCAATATTCTTACTGTCTCTGTTTTCTTTTTTAAAGGGGAAAAAAGCTGGTACTGGAGTGCAAAAGGCAAGAAGTAAGTATTCTGATACAATGGTTACTTTTCTTTTAGCAGAAAAAGGTACTATAAAGATTGAAGCTTGGGGCTCTTGTAATTCAGTGGTAGAACACTTCATATGCATGGTACCCCAGATCAGTCCTTAATATCCCCAAATATATATATATATATATATATATATATATATATATATACACTTATGAAGATTTTCTAAGGTAAAGTAATTTCCAGAACATGGACCTTTATAACAGTCTGAAGCTACTATGCTACCCTACCCCATGTTAATATTTTAAAGATGTTTTATTACGTGTATGGGAAGGGGTTGTGGATACATTAGTACAGGTGCCCGAAGAAGCCAAAATAGGTTTTTGGATCCCTTGGAGCTGATTTTGAGTCTCACCTGATGTAGGTGCTGGCAGCTGAACTCGTTGGGCCCTCTACAAGAGCATTATGTGATCTTCACTGCCTAGCTCTTTCTCCCTCCCCCAAATCCATATTTTAAAAAACTCACTAGAGTCCCAAAAGAAATAATTATTCAAACCCATTTACTGTGATGAACATAAGTAATGCTATCAGCACCACTCAGTTTAACAGTCTTGTGTGGCTGGTATGAACAGCAGGTGTCTGTAATCCCAAGACTGCAGAGACTGAGGCTACAGGATAGGGGGCTGCTGCCCAGCCTGCGCTGCAGTAGAGGGATGTTGTCCTCCAGAACAGAACACCTCAGAACACCACAGATCGGGTGTGTGCAGTGGGGACAGTGGAAGATGATTTCACCTGAGGCCTACACCTTTCAACTCTCTGGAATCTAAGGGCTTTAAAGGGTTTTTACCTACAGTAGAGTCTTTGAACATCTGCAAATGTCTAATGGTATTTTTTCTTCTCAAGCAGGGAGACTCAAAAAGCCTTTTTTAAAGGTTGAAGATGTGAACCGGTAAGTGTCGAGTCCAGTACATGGGAAGTTGAGTTGGTATTACAGACAAAATATCTTCAGACCTACTTCCACTTATATGTTTGCTTCCTTTATATGACAGTGATGTGGTTGGAGCACTAAGTCACGTGTGTTTCCTTGAACTAATTATAAAATTATTTTTTTATCTGGTTTTTTTTTTTTTTTTTTTAGTATTTTAAGTAAATTGAGTTTGAACAATTACCAAAGATTTCCTCCTGTAATTGTGGGAAAAATTATAATTATAGGAACTACTTGGAAATGTAAAACCTAAATATGATATTTACTATAATAATAAACTTCCAAAACTCTTAAAGATAATCTTAATGAAATCAACAAATAGATATAAGTCAGTTTGGGGTAGAAACGTTAGATTACTTTCTTTTAGCTCTCTAGTTATTTCTTTGGCCATGTGTGGCTAATTCTCTTACGTGTTCGCGGAAATGACGAAGGTGTTGAATGTTTCTTTTTTAAAAATAGGGGCTGGAGAGGTGGCTCAGTGGTTAGGAACGTTCGCCTGCTCTTGGAGATATGTGAATTTAGTTCCCAACATCCTTGCTGAGTGGTTCAAGAACACCCGAAACTCCAGCTGTAGGGGATCTGATGCCCTTTTCTGGCTTCCATGGTAGCCCACACACATGCATACACACAAAGTAAATAATAAAATCTTTTTAAGATACATAAATATTTTAAATGTATTATTGTGAAGAAAAAATACAATTTAAAATCAGGTCTGGCCAAGGTTTGATGGTACAGGCCTTTAACCTCAGGAGGCTCTCAAATTCTAGGCAACATTGCAAGATCCCTGTCACAAAAGGTAATGGGTAAAACATCTTGTGATTATAGATGGCACTAGAGACTTAGTAGGCATGTGGTCCTGGGTTTTATAAAAACAGGCTTGCTTGAGAAATGGCTCCTTGGCTACTCTTCTAAAGGACAGGGTTCAATTTCTAACACCCACAAGGTAGCTAACAATTTGTCTGTAAATTCCAGTCCTAGGGGATCTGATGCATTTTGATGGCCTCTGCGGACACTGCATTCATGTGATACACATTCAGGCAAACATTTACACACATAAAATCAAATAAAAATTAAATAAACGATTAAAAAATTATTTTTAAAAAGCCAGTAAGCAATGTTCCTTCATGGCTTCTGCTTCAGTTTTTGCTGCCAGGTTCTTGCCTTGAGCACTTCTGTCCATGATGGCCTGTGGTTAGAACGTGTAAACAAACCATTTCCTCTTCAAGTTGCTTTTGCTCTTAATATTTTATCATATCAATTGATAAGACAATGACCTAAAGATTAACCCAATAAATAGAAAAAGGCAAGTCATATATATTTAGTATACAGAATATAAAAATAACTCCTACATCTCAAAAGAAAGAAAAACGAAATACTGTAGAGAAATGAAAATCCAAATCATAGTGAGACTGCTTTAGTTCCCTTAGGATGGTTACTATCCAAGAAACATAGGAATAGCCAAAAGGTATCAGCAACCCTAGTCCGTCAAGCAAATGTATGCATAAATGAGGTATGAAAGATACATGTCTGTATATTCTTACAGTGGAAATGTTTTAAAAAGAAGGAAATTCAGACATGGACCAACATAGATGAGCTTTCAGAATGTCATCATAAGAGAAATACGAAGGAAAAATATTGCATTATTCCATGTACATAAAGCATTCAGAATATTTAGATTCAGTCACTGGTGCTTGCAAAGGGCTGGAGGGAAATAGATACAGGGTTTTTGCTTCTGCAAAGTAAGTACTATAGAGGATGGGGTAGTGATTTCACAACTTAATGTTTAATGAGACTAAACTGAACAGTTTCAAGGAGTATCTAGAGCAGTAGTTTAACCTGTGGGTTGCAACCTCTCAGGTTTAACAGTCCTTTCACAGGAGTTGCCTAAGACCATTGGAAAACACTGTTTACTGACATTACCATTCATAACAGTAGCAAAATTAGTTATGAAGTAGCAACAAGAATAATTTTATAGTTGGAGGTTACCACAGCATGAGAAACTGTAGTAAAGAATCGCAGTATTAGGAAACACTGAGAACCACTGAAAGAAGAAAAGGTAGTGATTCCACGACTTAATGCTTAATGTGACTAACTTACACAATTTCACATAGTTAAGATGGTGGGTATTTTATTATGCTTTCAGTGGCATTTTTTAGGTGGAGCAGATCAGGGAGGAGATTTGGGATGGGAAATTGATCAGAATATTATATGAAAAAGTTATTTTCAAAAGTATTTTTTTTTTAATGTTAAAAGAATAGGCCTACAAATTGGTTCTTTGAAAGGCAAGTTTACCAAGGAAGATTTACCAAGTCTCTGTTTCTGTTTATTTCAGATTTGAGATGAATTACACAATTTTGAAATATAAGGTTTTAGAGACGCTCACATACTTGTCCTTTTATTCTTTTAGGTCTTACAGACCATTTTACCTTCAGCTGACCAACATGCCTTTTATAAACTATTTTACTCAGAAGCCTTGCAGTCCATTTGATGTAGATAAGCCATCCAGCACCCAAAAGCAAGCTCAGCCTAAGCTCAGGTTGGTTTGAAACTTTATTTTTAGAAGGGATGCTATTAAGATTATTGCTATTATTATTATTTTTTTCTTCATAAACATTTGGGTAGCATATTTTGTGCCAATGTAGTGTGTGTGTGTGTGTGCTTGTTTCTCCCCGTGTGTATTTTTAATGCCTCTCTGCTATACTTAGTCTGAATATAAATGCATTATTTAGACACTTTAGTTGAAAATGGGCTTAAATAATAAAGCTGTTTCTCTTGCCATTTGAAGTCTTTGTCAGAATGTTTATTACATTTTGTTTTTGCATTTCTTGAAATGTAGTTAAAAGTATTTGCTGTTACAAGTCTCTGATTATGGCATATTCTGTATTTGATAGTTTAAGACAGTAAATTTTTAAAATTATTCATTGAGTTTTGCAGTTAATTTTGTTACCATGTGTTTCTATCACTAGAATTAATACGGATGGCGATAAATACGGTGGAACCCCGGTTCAACTCCAATTGAAGGAAAAGAGAAAAAAAGGATATTGCGAATGTTGCTTACAGAAATATGAAGATCTTGAAACTGTAAATATGATTTTTACACTTGGGATTGTTGTTCTTGAAAGTCTAAATGCTGATTTTGTGTTCAGGTCTTACTTTACTTTTCTGACTATATTTTGCACCGTGATAGTTATAAATGTATTCTTTGGTTTGTTTTATGGTGGGGATGGAACCCAGAGCTCTGCACATTCTAGGCAAGTACATCAGCACTGCTGCATCTTTAGCCTGAAACACTTGAAATTTTAAGAACCCAAGGAGGGGAAATAAATAATTTTTGTTCATTCAGTAGATATTTATTGAGCACTTTGTGTATAACTACAACATAAAAAAATAACAAAACATACACGGTTTAGATCAGTGCCAGGAGAAACAAAACAGGAACGGAGGTGTTGCTATTTACTTAGATTTGGCAAAGAAATACCTAAGTGTTGTTAAAGTAAAGCCACAGAAATGTTAGGTAGCTAGACAGCTCAGTACTGACTGAAATCAGCAAGAGGGATGCCCAGGGCTGGTTGACAGAATATCCAGGACACTGGACTGTACCAAGCAGTGATGGGGCATGGTCAGGTTGTTGAAACACTCCCTAAAGATGAGACTGGGAGGACATAATATGATTTTGGATTAAGAGATGGTAGATAAGTGAAAAGGTACTATATTTTGGTCTGAGCAATTACAAAAGAAAAGACTTGTAAGAGCATATTAGATGAGGATAGTTTTCAAAGATGGGGACTATTCGAGGTTGTGAGCTAATAAAAAGTAAGAGTTTTAGGATCACTGGCAGTCTTGTCTGTGTGCCCTTAGAGTTTGGTGCACAGCAAGTACTTATTAATCTTAGCAGTTACCATTTGAATTCTTGACTGGTAAGTAGTAGGTAGACAGATGTACCTGAAGATGGTGCACAGCTTACACCTCTAGTTTCAAATACTCGGGAAGCTCAGGCAGGCTGAATACGCTCTAGGCCAACAGACACAACTTTAGTAGTGTTTTAGTGTTTTGTTTGGACTTAGTAGAAAATTTTAAGAATAAAAACTGAAAATGCTGGTTCGTAAAAACAACTCCAACTTAATATTTTAAATCAGAATTTGTTTTGGAACCCAAAATGTATCAGTACTTACCAGAGGTTTTGATTTGTTTTACTTACATAATAAAGGAGAAAATACAATTAGTTTAAAATTGCATTGAATCAGAAGTTAAATTATCTCAAATTTTTCCCTTTCCCTTTTAATTCTTTTAAGATTGAAGCTATTGATAGGTTCTGAAATTTACTTGGCATTGTAAGAACAGAACAATCTAGAGTGTTTGTTTGTCTAATCTCTGAGGTACAAATGCGTTTAGAAAATGTAAGGACAGTAGGAAGGAAAGTTGTCCACTGGTTGCCACAAAGAAAGCAAATTTGTGAAAGTAGACTTGAGAATGAAATTTAAGATCATAACTTTGATAGTTTTTTTTTTGTTGTTGTTGTTGTTTTTAATTTAAACTGTAGAAGCTGAATTGAGTAGGCCATTCTTGTGATCACAGCACTTTGGAGGCAAAGGGTATTGGGTTGGAGAACAATTTGGGCTATCTAGTGAGATCTTTGAAAAGAAGAATAGAAGGGGGAAAAAAACCCACGTTTTTATTACCTTGAGTTTCACAGTGATCATTTCTATCCATGCCAAAAAACTGAGTTAGGAAAAACTTAGGAGATGGCTCAGTAAGTGAAGTGCCTACAAATGAACTAAGATTGATCCCCAGAACTCACATAAGAAAAAATCTAGGTGTGATGGTGTGCCCTCTTAGTCCTAGTGTGGGGGCAGAAACAGGCTGATTACTGAGCTTGCTCATCTGCTGTCCTACTTTACTTGATGAGTGCCAGGTAGACACTCATGGATGGGATGATAGACAAGGTTATCTTCTGGTCTGTACACATGCACAGATCCTTTTGAGTACTGTAGGTAAAGCAGACATACCCTAGGTTTCCTACTTCATGTACTGGCATAGGAAATAACTGTGTATGTTTGTAAGTATGGTGGATTATTTTTTTCTTCTTAAGATAAACTATTATTTAAATGTATGCAAATAAATATAAACATATACCAAAATTAACCAGACTCAGAGTCTATACAACTCAGTGAAATTCTATACAATTAAATTAGGCATTTGGAATGAAAATCATGGAGCTTCATACAAAATTTTATACTCTCAGTATATATGGACCTAGAATGCATAATTTTATGTTCGTTCATAGAGTGTCAGAAAACAAAGCAAACCTACATGTTTTTCCATCTGAGGAATTTGGCCATTAATATATATATTTATGTAAAGAAATGTGAATGTACTGTAACGTAGAAAAGAGAACAAGCAAAGCTAAAAATAAGGAGATGCAGAACTCAGGTGAATGCAGGTGATGGGTTCTGAGTTATGAATCAGAATATGATGCCGATTGTCTTTCTAGTTCTAATTCTAGCACGGAGAAGGTTCAAATTAACTGGAATAAAAAGTACAATGATAGTAAATGATGAGAAAGGAATTAGGCCTGTAGCTCAGTGGTCAAGCACAAGCTTAGCACATGTGAGATCCTGGGTTTAATTCTCAGACCCAAACATAAAAGTAAGTTAAATAAGATTGCTTGACTTGCTGTATTGGAGTAGGATCAGATAGCTGAGACATTTAGATTAATACCTAAATATTGAAAAACACTTGAGTGGATGTAGAGAGAAACAACATGAAATTGGAGTTTCACTTAAGTTAATAAATGGTTCTTCCCAGAATATAAATGAACTTAATCTGAACTTTAAAAATGGGATATTTATTTTAGACTGTTTCTTTTGTCAGGGTTTCCCATGCAGCCCTGGGATAGCCTCAAACTCGGAGAGCCACCTGCCTTTGCCTCCCCAATGCTGGGGTTATAGACATGTGCCACCACACACAGCATAGGCTGTCTAAACACAATATCCTGAATATACTGACAAGACAAATGGTAGAATTAGCCTGGAGATCTTAGAAGAAACTTTGTTTGCTGTCAATTTTATACTATAAATTTGTTATTTTATGTGACAGGGTCTTGCTGTAGCCTTGACTAGCCTGGAACTCATGTAGACAGGCAGGCCTCCAATTCACAGAGCTCTACCTGGCTTTGCTTCGAGAGTGCTAAGACTGAAGATATGTGCTACCATGCCCAGCTTACTTTTCCTTTTAATCACTCTTATGATTGAAAATACTCTTTTCTATGTTAGGATCAGTAGCTAATGAGATATTTTGTTTGCTCATACTTAGATGTTTTCTTGAGCTATGAGTCTTTGTAATATATATATATTTATAGTGTAGCGTTTATCGAAGGTTTTCATTTTTAAGGTTTTTACTTTGTATGTAAGTGTGTATGAGTAGAACACATGTTTGGAGTGTAGAAGAGGCCATCAAATTACCAGGAACTTGAGTTAGAGGTGATTGTGTGCTACCAAATTTGGGTACTGGGAACCATCTTTTAAGTCTTGGAAGAGTGTTAACTGTTCGTAACTACCGAGCCAAGTCTCTAGCCCTCCTAGTTTTTAAACTATTATTCTAGACTCTTGTGAGTTTTTAATTCTTGCATATTACATTGAAAGACTTCATTTAATTTTGTAAGCCTACCTTGATAATTACATGTAGTAGTAGATGAAAACAATTTTTATAAAATATCTGTATGTTACTGATTTTTAAAGGCAGTTTTTAACTTTGTCTTAAGAAAGGGAAAGGGTTTTTTTAAAAATACTTTTTAGCTTAAAATAAAAACACATCAACACCCCCCCCCCTTCCCAATTACTCTTCTGTCTTTCAAATTCATGG